TGGACCCACACCAACTTCCCCGACTTATTTGCTGAACTCCAAACGTCCCCCTCGTCCTCCCGCCACATTAGGTGGCTGGAGGTTGGGGTCCTTGCCTGGACTCTTTGGACTGTTCGTAATAAGCTTGTGATCGAGCGTACCCCTCTCCGTCGTGCTACTGACGCTCTCTACAAATTCTCGGGTTTCCTGCAGCTTTGGCGGCCGCTTAGCCGTCCCCTGGAGCGCGACGCCATCTCTGCCTTCATCGCCGATCTTCGCTCGATGGCCGTCCGCCTTTCGCCACCGCCGCCGCCGCCGCCGCCGGAGCCTGACTAAATCCCCGGCGCGGGTCTCGCTTTGATTTTTCTCTTTCTTTGGGCTTGTTGAGCTGTGCCCTCAGCAGAACCTTATGACTTTGTTGTGGTACTTGGGTGTGTGTGTGTGGACTTGGTGTGGTTGTATGTCCTTTGGCGGTCTGCTTTATCTATAAAGTGGGGCAAAAGCCTTTTTCGGTAATTGACCCAACACAAAGTGCTTTTATCGCTGACACTCTGAGTCCAAACAGCTTCCTTTTTGGACCAAGACCAGGTTATTGCTCATCTCATCCTTTGTTAAAATATGATAATTTAAATTCCATCCTTAGGTGCGACTATAACTTTGTTCCTTGAAATGCTATTTTGCAGAATGGTTTAGATCGTCACAAGGAACTGGTTCGTTTCTATCACCTGCAACTTCACCTCAACCTTTGGGTGATGTTTCAGGGGCGTTTGGACAAAGCAACTTTCCTATGGCTTCTGGGATGGTATGCGGCAAGTTTAGGCCTTATCAGAGCACACTGAGAGGGGGTGTTGAAGTATGCGTGGATTGCCCAACCTTTCATCAGTTTTTGGGCTGTTCTATTGATTGACGTGTGAAACTTTTATTAAGGCCTAGTCATGGAGAGAAAGTGGCAATCAATTTTCTATTGAAATAGCGAAAACCCGAGACATGAACCCAAGACCTTATTAGGTTTCATGCACCACAACCAGTTGAACCAAAACCCCTAACCAATGGAGAAAGTTGGGCAATCCACATATACATTAACAATAACGTGACGTTTTAACCCCTAATTCTCTCATTCATGCTTCTCGCATTTACCATAAAATTCAAAGTTTGAAGCCTTTTACCTAAACATTTTTGTTGAAGAGTTTGGATGCAATCACTTCCAATCTGCCATATCACAGTGACCACAAAAACATGACCAAATCCTGTAATAAATTAGACTGGTACTGCCAAAGATGTGTCTAGCTGCAATTCAGCTCAATCTGTGGAACGGATTCACCACCATATGTCTGACTGGAGATCACTGGCGATTCCTACTTCCAAATGCAATCAGCCATCAGTGCTTGATGGCTGCGTACACACTAATATTTAGGATGATGACCTGTTCTTTCTGTGCTTATGCATATGATAATTTGACAAGAACACTATTATTGATTATAAACAAGACAGGATCAAATATCGTTATTACTAGGATCTAATACTTCCGTTTATTCCCAATTTCAGATGCCCCCTCAGCAGAAGTCCTTCTATGGTTTTGGAACCCCTAGTGACTCTTATGGAAGAAGGTTCTCTCATCGTGGGAGTTTCCCACATACCACTAATTATGGGAGTCCTTTCCCTGGCTATGGCCTGAATGGTAGAAGTTTGATTCCAGTTGACAAAGAGCGCAGGAGAGGGAGGGGTAATCCTTTGTTATGCAGCTTTGTTGGTTCACTTGATTTCCTCAATGAGCAAAGCCGCGGTCCACGTTCCACCAGGCCTAAGAAGCAACCAGAGGATAACAGTAAAGATGAGAAGTCTTCTGCTGGACTTGACCAGGGGTCATACAACAGGACTGATTTTGTTACAGAGTACAAAAATGCTAGATTTTTTATCATAAAATCATACAGCGAAGATAATGTGCACAAGAGCATCAAATATGGTGTTTGGGCTAGCACCACAAATGGAAACAAGAAACTAGATGGGGCTTATCATGAAGTGAAGAAGGAAGAACACTGTCCCATTTTTCTGTTGTTTTCGGTAATTAAAGCCTTATCCTGTTTCCCTATTAGTGCTTTCTCAGTATCTCATGTTTGTTTCCTTGCATTTATATTCTCCACTGAGAATTGAAAACTGGACCAATATGTGCAGGTGAACGCTAGCGCACAGTTCTGCGGTGTTGCGGAGATGACTGGACCGGTGAATTTTGAGAAGAGTGTGGACTACTGGCAGCAAGATAAGTGGACTGGCCAGTTCCCTGTTAATTGGCACATACTGAAGGATGTTCCAAATAATCTCTTCCGCCATATAATTCTTGAAAACAATGAGCACAAGCCGGTAACCAACAGCCGGGACACACAAGAGGGACAATGCTTTTGAATAGCTTATCATTTGTTACTTGATTTGCACATTTGTTGTCCTTGAAGTACCGCTATTTATTTCATAGTGATATTACCCATCAAATTATTATGATATAGCCTAACATGGTTTCGTAGGAGGTACTAATATTGATATCAGTAAGTACTTACATCGGAATGCTCCGTCTTCGACTATTTAGTGTGGTGCTAACACATTTTGAGCTTTATCGTAGGTGAAACTGGAACAAGGACAGGAGATGCTGAAAATCTTCAAGGACCATGAGGAGGATGCGTCGATCCTCGATGACTTTGACTTTTACGAGGAACGTGAGAAAGCCCTGCTGGAGAATAAGGCAAGGCTGTATCAGCAACAGCAGATATCCAGCTCCAGTATCGCTGAGCCCAAGAAGCCGTCGACTGTACCAACTGACCTGGTGGGTCATATCGCCAAGAATTGTAGCTTTCTTGAGCCCAAGAAGCCCTTGACTGTACCCACTGACATGGTGGGTCATATCACGAAGACTTTTGCACAGGCTGTTCGGCTTGGCAAGGCCAAGAGTGTGAGCCCTCTGGGCAAGAAAGGCCCTGCTGGGGATTTATCTGTTGCTGCGAAGCCTGTCGAGGTCAGAGAGAGCGGCTAGAGCAGTTGAAGTGAGATTTGGCTTTGCTTGAAATTTAATCCATGTGCTTCCTCATCAGAATGCTGGGGTGTATAAAGAAAAACACAGGTGAAGATGATGGCCTCGGTAGTTTCTTGCATAGTCTCTTTTGTCTTAATTTCCTTTGCGTAATTATATATTCGAGTACGGTTATTCCTTAGCTGGTAGGCTTAAGGTAGAGAGCTGCAGTTTTGTTAAATTTTCCTTTTCTTGTTACTTATTGATGGTGCAATTCTGGACAAGATACATCTACCTGTGCACCAGTGTATATGTAATAAGCAATACAATGGGAATCCTATAGGGCCAACTCTTTCTCCATGGTTCCTCATGGAATTGCTCATTCCGACATGGCAAAATAACTTTCTTTTGTCCCTTGAAAATCTTGCGAAATCCAGTCCGGACTTAATTTTCATGGGACTTTGGACTTCATTGGTACTGAAGAAATTGTATGCATAGTTAGGCCGGATGGGGGATATGGCATATTCGCGTTGTTGCAGGTGGTGTCGCAGCCCGGCAGCCCTATCGCACTCGGAACCGTTGCTCTGTTGGTGGAGGATCCACCGGGGAGGCTCTATTAAGTGTATGGATGATACGTCTTATCGCCAGCTATATTAAAGGGCACTCGGGAAACCGTGTTCATGGGTTATCGAAGGTGGCTTGACGAGGATGACGAGTGAAGAAGTCGTGGAGATCTGTTCGGCAGTATAGATAAGACCCGAGCAACGCCAGTAAGAGGACCGGGGCAAAAATCCATCAGTTGTTGAAGGATTGGACAGAGTGCTCTAAGCCAGTAAAGTGGCGAAAGGGCGTCAAGGAGAAGATGTTGCTAAAAGTATGAGAAAGGAAGTCTATTTTTTGGGACTTACAGTACTGGGAAGTCCTCTATACACCACATTACCTTGATGTCATGTATATTACAAAGGATGTGTGCGAGAATTTGCTTGGTACACTCTTCGACATGCCACAATAGAGTAAAGATGGGCTGATGGAAGCAGGAATTTCAGGTTGGCTATGTCAGACTCAGATTCTTCCACCATAATAATGGTGTCATCGGCGTATTGAAGGAGGGAGACCCCACCCCCTCCCATAAGGTGCGGAACCACGCCGTGGATATTACTTGCGGCCTTGGCCTTGTCCACTAGTAGAAAAAGGGCCTACAGTCCCGGTTGGTGAGGGCCTTTAGTCCCGGTTCATGAACCGGGACTAAAGGGTCGGTACTAATGCCCTGACCCTTTAGTCCCTGTTCAATCCAGAACCGGGACAGATGGGCCTTCACGTGGCCTGTCCGCTGAGCCCAGGCAGGAGG